TCTCGATTTTTATGCGAGCGCATGTAAACAATGTACATGAATTACATGACTGAATTAGCCTTCCTGGCATTTTCGTAAATATTTGAATTGCCATTTACCTTTCTGGTGAAATACCTTGTGCTTTTTATTCTGCCCATTGTAGTCGCAAGAAGCGCGTGTTTTATACTTAATTTCTACATTGTTTAAAAAAAATTTCTTTCTCCCCTATTTGGTTTACTAACGATCTGATCACAACGAGGCTAATAACCGTTTATTATATCGAAGATTCAAATTTTAGTAGAATTTTCAACTACTTTGGATGTAAAATGAACACAAGTCAATAAATATTATAAAGTGTGCATATTATCGTGAATATAAAGAGCTTTTCTTTCTTCTTATTTTCTTTCCTTCTTATAAGACGCAGATAACAAATGATTGTGCGTAAACAAAGGGCAAATTTTTATTATTAAATTAATGTTCATATCTCAAAGATCAATATAATTTCCATTAAATTACATTATAGATACGAAGATGTATTCGACTAGTATTTGATCATCTTGATTAATGTTACAATCCAGTATTGATGTGAATATATTGAAGTATTTTTTGGAATAAGACACGGATAACATGATTAATTGGCCATTGAGTTTCATTATTTAATTAAATTAAAAATTGTATAAATATGTGATTTTGAAAGCATCTAGTGATGTAATTAAATACTCATACGCATGATTAATTAGAATTCTAATGTTACCATCCATTGATTTGGTGAGGCAACTAAATAACTACATAGAAAAATATAACGACAACTGGTATTATAAAATGCAATTACTTTTTTATTGAATGAAATTGAAATGAAAATTATAGGCAATAGAATGACATGGCTTGTAAATATATCACACATTTACACTTAATCAAAATTTAAATAAACACCAGTGGCTAAAATAATTTAAATTCCTTATTAAATGAGCAAATAAATTCTCCAAAGTATTCTCATGAAAAATTGGCGCAAATTTTAAGAAATCATTATAAATAAATTGTTGTTTCTTTTCCTTCTATCGTCACACCCATTACGATTGCCGAAAAAAGTATGGTAGTATAGGGAGGCCACGCCTGAAGGTAAAGAAAATACGCTGCGGCAAAATCCAAAGTTATTGCTGTGGAATTGAAAGGAAGCGATGCGACGGGTTGGGCGACACTTTTCCGCAGATTTCTCAGATCTCTCACCCGTTTCGATCTTCAAATGTCATTAAAGCGACGTCGGTTCGGCTTCTCGCAAGCTCGCCGTCGGAAAATTTATGGCGGCTTAAAAAGTCCGAGCTCCTTTGAAAAGCCTGATAAATGCGAAACGGGGAAGAACGCATATATGCGTGAACGTGCGCGTGTACGTGTGCGGGCGTGCGCGTCTACGATCGCCGAGGAAGACGCGAAAATTCGTCACCGCGTTCTTTCAGGCCAAATGCAAACTTTCGTTGCGAAAATGACAGGGGCGAGGCGTGGCTTCTTAGACAAATAGCGTCGCGTAAATAGACGCGACCTTTGGCCCTCTCATCTTTAATTGGCTGGATGTATATCACCGGATATTTGTTTATACAGACGTTTCCGCTTGCAACGGCTTTGGCAGCTGCGAAGCCATTTTCCTCACCACCCCAAAAGCAAGACAGAGAACTACATCCTTAAATGTAGAACTCTGAGAAGTTCGTTGCGATTGATCTTTTTCTCGCATTTTAAATGGCGTGAAGAGGAGACTGCCAGAATTTGAGAAAATCCAGCAGTTTCAAAATGCAGTATTTACCATCTTTCTTTGACGGTAAAATTATCATTACCATAACGTTGCAGTATCGGCTACATCGCGAATAATAATGATAATTGTATGATAATTGAATTAAGGATATTTTGAAAAATAATGGTTAATAATGTCGTGGAATTTACGTTTACCGTTGCCATTACAAACAGGAAGGTTATGCTGAGAAATGTCTTTTTCTATGAACAAAAGAAAAAAAAAATTTGCCATTTTCGAGACGATAAAAACGTAATAAACAAGGCATTGTACACACAAAAATATTCATAATTTTTAATAGAATTCATAGGGATATAAAAGGAATTTATTTGATACTTGGCATAAGAGAATCGTGGAAAGGAGGACGTAAATTTGGAAAAGTTTACTCTAAAGTTGCTCGCAGAAAGAATTCATTAGATGAAAACCTAGTCGACGATGAACTTACTCCTCTATACTCTTTCGTTGATGCTTGCGCATGGAAACTTTAACAAAACGAAAAATAAAAAGAAAAGAAAGAAAAAGCATATTCGCTGATAGGACAACGACGACGATGACGACGACGACGACGACGACGACGACGACTACGACGACGACGACGACGACGACAACGACAACGACAACGACGACAACGCACAATGGACGAGCAATATAATAGTCGAGAGTGGCGTATGAACTCGCAATCGCCTAACATCGTTGGTACATAGTCGCTGCATCTCTGGGTATATAGACTGAGAGGAGGGGGGCTTTTCATCGCGCACCGGCTAGGGACGAGCGAAAAGAGCGAAATAAAGAGAACAGCAGAGAAAGAGAAAAGACGAATAAATAAAGGAAAAGCATGGCAAAGAGAGAAAGGGCGAGGGAATGGGACGTGAGGAGAAAGGAATTGTGTCTGGCTCAGCTCGTAGGCGGGTTTGCCAAGAGTTCAAAATCTTGTCTCCTCTTCTATCTCATCTTTTTGCTCGATCCCGCGGATTCAGCGGGTAGGAGAGAGCAGCGCAGGACAAACAACTTTTTCGCGTTATACTTCCCATCCCTATCGTCCCTTTCCACTCTACCGATCTCTCTCTCTCTCTCTCTCTCTCTCTCTCTCTCTCTCTCTCTCTGTGGATGAGATACGATGTTTCTGCATTCAGGAGGATATTTGGTCACGGTCCGTTTGGCTCACCAGGCCACGTGAGAGACTCTTTGCGGAATGAAAAAGGAAGAAAAGCGCGCTGCGAGCGGCAATATGAGGGAAAACGGAGATATCGGCGAGTGCAGCGACTTCCTCCTTGGGCGAGATATCCGTGCGTTGTCCGTTAAGAAGGAAGCAGATTCGAGCAACCTAACGCAAAATATCACTCCGCAGATATCATAAAAGCACCATTGGAACTTTTTCTATTCAAATATATTTATATATATATATATATATATATATATATTTAGACGTGTATGCCAATATAGATAGAATTACACGCACAAACAGATTCACATGCAGACAGAGAGAGAGAGAGAGAGAGAGAGAGAGAGAGAGGCAGACAGACATACAGACAGACAGACAGACAGACAGACAGACAGACAGACAGACACCTGTACGCATACGCGTACGTATGTCCAGTGGCCCTTTTCACCTTATCATGATCCGCTGAATTATCGATGGCCAGTCGTAAATAATAATCAACTGCAGATTCACGAACACGAGGCATTACGTATGCATGCAAATCCACTCGGCAATCTCGAGTGATTACGTTCAGTGAGACGTTTTACGATTGCTGTATATTTTTTAAGTGATACGAATAAATTCTCAAGGCTCACTTGACCTGACCATCTCATACATCTATGATACATCGAGATTCGAAAGTTTGGTTGTCTTTTTCGTCCAAGCCAACACACACACACACACACACACACACACACTCTCTCTCTCTCTCTCTCTCTCTCTCTCTCTCTCTCTCTCTCTCTGAGTTTAGAGCACTGTCAGATATGCTAGCGATTCTAAACGAGGCGATGCACGCGATATTCGTTGACGGGAAGGTCGTCGGTCCGTTCATGAACCGCAATGACGGGCCCAAGAGAGGAAATTATAGGGCAGTTGCTGCATCAAGTCGAGACAGCAGGTGGCAAAAAATATCCTTCTTTAAGGCAAAATCAACCCCCCTAAGGCTAAAAAGGCGGCTCACAAGCCAGGCAATTCCCTATTTAAAATCAATAAGTTTGGCAATGTCAGCTACGCCACGGGCGCTCCCTTTCCCCGAAATAAAAGGGTCGGCGCAAAGAGGCACGACGCTGGGAAAAAGAAGTTCGGCCTCTTGCGCGCTAGAATGCCCGAGATCGGACACGCCTGGGTTCCTCTGGCATAAGGGTGCGAGCGCCCTGGACGTGTCTCCCGTTATATTCTCGGCTATACACACCCCTTTGGCGCTCGAGTTTTTGCTGGGCGACGAGGCACACGAGCGCAGGTGGCGCAGCGTGCGTGTAAGGTCGGACGAAATAGCGCGGCAACACGTGCGTCGGTCGTCCTCCTATTAGAATGAGGCGACGTGAGAAGTCGAGCCGGTCATATCCTCGGCCGCGCGCAACCCGGATTCTCCCCTCAGCCTCCCACCTCCACGCCAACACACCGTACGTATTTTGCGGGGAGCGCCCAGTCGGGGTGCCTCGACCTTTTTGCGCAAAGCTGTCACGAACGACGTTCAATACTCCCGCTCGTATATTTCATCTCGGTGTAGTCCTGCCGACCATCCTCTCGCCCTCAACCCCGCTCGAGAGGATCTTGTTTTATTGGCAGATTGCGACGTCCTACCGCCTCTGTGCACCCATGTACGAGGACGGAAATTCAAAATTTTCGACGATCGTCCCGACAATTTGCCCGCCAAGGTCGATCATTTGCCTTGCGTTTCGAGGGATAAGGAAGAGAAAACAAGGGAGCGTGGCAGTCATGGCTGACGTACTCGTTTCAATTTCTCGTTGCGACAATTAGCGGCACTCGTAAGCGAGCCAATCGATTTTGCCTCGCGAGACCAGATCTTTCGAAAGGCTCTTTATTGCGTCACGGCCACGTGCCAGCATCCGGGTGCGTAAATTAAGATGGTGCGCGCACTGATTGTTTAACGACGAGTGATTTGCGATGGAAGATGGGACGGTGGGTCACGGCGTCCAAGGAAAAAACGTAGCCATAGCGGAATAATAATTGATATTTAGTCGGGTTAACGAGGTCGTGGGCAAGTCGCGGGGCGTCTATGGATACTAGAAAATATAATAGTTACGGGTGGACGGTGGACGGTGGACGGTGGACGGTGGACGGTGGACGGTGGATGGGGGACGGCGTACGTGGTACGTGGTACGTGGTACGTGGTACGTGGTACGTGGTACGTGGTACGTGGTACGTGGTACGTGGTACGTGGTACGTGGTACGTGGTACGTGGTACGTGGTACGTGGTACGTGGTACGTGGTACGTGGTACGTGGTACGTGGTACGTGGTACGTGGTACGTGGTACGTGGTACGTGGTACGTGGTACGTGGTACGTGGTACGTGGTACGTGGTACGTGGTACGTGGTACGTGGTACGTGGTACGTGGTACGTGGTACGTGGTACGTGGTACGTGGTACGTGGTACGTGGTACGTGGTACGTGGTACGTGGTACGTGGTACGTGGTACGTGGTACGTGGTACGTGGTACGTGGTACGTGGTACGTGGTACGTGGTACGTGGTACGTGGTACGTGGTACGTGGTACGTGGTACGTGGTACGTGGTACGTGGTACGTGGTACGTGGTACGTGGTACGTGGTACGTGGTACGTGGTACGTGGTACGTGGTACGTGGTACGTGGTACGTGGTACGTGGTACGTGGTACGTGGTACGTGGTACGTGGTACGTGGTACGTGGTACGTGGTACGTGGTACGTGGTACGTGGTACGGAGGGGGCGGGGGGGGATCGATGGAGTATGAGCGACAGTGTAATCGAGCCCGACTCTTCTTTTTGTTTCAGGTGAGTAGCAGTGAGCACCAGCCGTTTCTCTAATGCCAAATAGCTATGGATGTGCGTAACTGTCGATAGTAGTCGGCTTATCGGTTGCGGCGAACGGAATATGCTGCACCCGGTGAGTGACGAAGTACCTCGGACTCTCCCGTAGCTCGCATACTCGACCAATGCCCTTGAACTAGATTTTTTTGAAACACACCAACAACTCCAACACCACATCAGAAAGCACGTGTTCACAAATGTACATTTTGTTTGTCACAGTTTATTTTTTTGTTGCGACCTACGCCATAAACGCATAAAATGTAGTTTGAAGCCATTAAAAAATGGGGCAGGAACGGGCCCGGAATTCATTCCGATGCTTATATTCACGATGATATTTTAAAATTGGACAAGAGAAGAAAAAAAATTCAGCCGGTAGACGAATGAAAAATTATAGCGTCTTGGCGTTGTATACCACAGTGAACTAACTGCGTGAGAAATAAAATGAACGACGGAGAGAAAGAGAGGAGACTTTGTGCCCGCGCGCCTACACGAGAGAGGCATACAATGTTTGTCTTTTTCTTTTCTTTATGTCTTTCTCTCTTTCTTTCCTTCCTTCTTTCATTCTTTCCTTCTTTCATCCTTTTTTTTCCTTCCCATTCTTTTCCTTTTTTAAGAAATAAAATCATCGAGGGGTTAGAGAGGAGGAGGTTGCGGTCTTGCGAAGGCATATTTAATTTTACATTGTGAAATATAAAATGAAACCTAAAATACGTAAGTAGAGTTGAAAATTTTTCAAACATAGATGTTAAGGTACGTTTAGACTAGAAAGAAAACTAGAATTATTCGTAAATATTGCTGCAATCGAGATGGACATGAGAGCTGTGGCTTAAATATGATATTATAAATAGTTGCGCGAATCTTGGTGTACAAATTTGTTTTATTTTCATTTCTCTTAATCATTAAGATTCTTACGAATATTATCATCATCATCATTATTATTATTATTATTATTATTATTATTATTATTATTATTATTATTATCATTATTATCATTATTATCATTATTATTATTATTATCATTATTATTATCATTATTATTATCATTATTATTATTATTAGTAGTAGTATCATTATCATTATATTATTATTATTATTACTATTACGATTATTATTGTATTTGCTCTAAACGCAATAAAAGTGCAAGTGTACATGCTCGCGGTGCGTGCGTTCCTTCGAGCGACAACACGACGACTGCTGTTGATGTTATATTTTTGTTATTTTGATTATATTGCCTAGACGCGATCTTGAATGAGGAAATTGCCCCTTCACCGAATTACTGCTAAATAAAATAAGATAAAAAAGATTTGATAGTAAAATACCCAACTTCAAACTGAAACATCGGTGAAGCTGCATTCTTCGATCGTGATCATTGAACAAAAAACAAACAAAAAAAAAAATTAAAAAAAAATATACATATATATATATATATATATATATATATATATATATATGGGTATATAAAGAGGGAGAGAGAAGAATGAATGAGTAAATATATGTGCGCGCGCGCGCATGTATACACGTTTGTATGTATATATATATATTTTTTCGTGTTCCGAAATTTTTATTGTTATTGTCTAGAATATCACAATGTATTCGCTCAGTACCTGCAAAGAGGGTAACGAGTTCTTGCGCAATTTAATTCGAAAATGCCTTCTTTGAGAAATAAAAGAAAACTAGATAAGTAAAAAGTAACACGATCTCTTTCTCTCTCTCGACGTGCATCGTGCGCGAGTCAGCTGAGATACAGATACATAAAGTTTCGCGCATGCATACGCTTTAGAAGACAAAACAAAAAAAAACAAAAAAAAAAGACAAAATGAAAAACAAAAAAACAAACAAAAAAATAAAAAATAAAAAAAATGAACGACAGGTTATAGCCAATCGGATCTGTAAACTCAAGAGTCAACGGACGAAAGCTGCAGTTGAGCACGAATGATACTTATGTACGTAAACTACGTAGTACCTAATAAAACTTAAACAAGCATCAAAACAGCATCCGCAAATGACGAAAGTGAAGCGTGAAAGAGTGCTCGACTCTACAACCGAGTTTAAGTAATTTTATTCTAGTTAGAAAATGTATACGACTAGCGTTTAGCTAAGAAACAAAAACGGATAGAGGCGATGTAGCTCCTGATAATGAAAAAGTCGCACTGACACACACTTGCGTGACTGCAGTATTTCTTAAGAGGAATATGTAATATTAAGAATTATTTATTTGGTGGATCTCCGTACGAAAAACTTCCGTGCCCTCCTCTGTGTACTATACGATTAATTAGGCGACGAGTGGGAGAGGCGCGATATTTTCACGTATGGCGCATGCGCGCTCGCGTAACGCTACATTAACATAGCCGTGTTTTTCTCTTTTCACTCTCCATACATAATTCGTTCGTTATCGATTTTACATTTCCTCCACGTCACTTTTCATTATTATACTTTCGTGCATTATTACTCACTTTCTTTCTTTCTTTCTGTCTTTCATTCTTTCTTTCTTTCTTTCCTTCTTTCTTTCTTTCTTTCTTTCATTCTTTTTTTCTTTCTTTCTTTTTTACTTCCCTGCCAACCCGCCAATCCTTCAATCGCTCGTCTATATTTCTTAAATATGTGTGAAAACGTTCGATTCCGTCGTAGAAAAATTTTGATTTTTGTTTTTCGCTTTTTTGTAATATAGTAGAGATTATACGTAAACGTATACAAGTATAAATGATTTTTGTCGATGATATCCGAGGAATTTGACGTGTATTATTTTGTGTATAATCAAGCCGAGATGCGGCCAGGACCGCGACACTTTCTGCTTTCTTCATTTTCTCACGCCGATTTAATAGAAAGAAAAAATAAATATGTCTATGTATACATACATACATACATACATATATATATATATATATATATATATATATATATGTGCCGCTGGAGAAAATTATCCTACGGAACGATAGCCGTTCCGCGATTTTTGTCATTGTAAACATTATACCGATTATACGATTGCTATAAAATGAAAAAAGACGAATAAATACGATTCGAATAAAAATCATCAAAAAAAAAAAAAAAAAAAAAAAAAAAAAAAAAAAAACAGAAATACATTGGCTTTTATTCTTTGCACACGGCCCTAGCCGTGGCAGATGCACCTTTTGACATTCCTCCTATCCCACGATCCAGTTATTTTCACGTATTTTTATTTTAGTATTAGTACGCATGCGCTTATTATAATTATTTCCCTTTATTTTGCAAGAGAACTTGCGAAGCGAATATGACGAATGGGCCTCGGGCTCGCGCTTGCAAAACGCTATTGCGTTAATTTATTGCTCGCGTTTGCCGCTCGGCGCATTTATCCTATCCTCTTCTTTTACATTGAACACACGAACGAGAATCGCTTCTGAATAGGGCTTTGGAGTATTGTCCGGGTGCAGGAGTCGCCGGACTTGGAAAAGTTACGGCGAGCTACGACGAGAGCCACACAACTAGTCGAAGGTGAGCTAAGGGATTCCCGAGAGGAGCACCAACTCTTTCGCGGATAAACTTCTGTTTCTCATCAAAAACTTGGGACACCACAGCCGTGCGCCGCATTATTCTAAAACACGCCTCGCCACTTGAGATATGGCCGTGTCGAGGAAGTTCTTGATCCTTTCCTACTCGCTCGCTCTCTCGTTTCTCTTTGCGCGTTTCATCCCACGCAGGAAAAACACCACACACAACGAGAGAGTCGCTGAGGGGGCAGGGAGGCGAGTGGTGCACATGCTCGCGCGTCTGTGTGAAAGAGACAGACAGAGAGAGAGAGAGAGAGAGAGAGAGAGAGAGCGTGTTGTATAACGTAGGATTAACAACCCTTCTTGAAAACTGGGAAATAACGACTTTTGGGCGAGCAGAAATATTCATGTCTTATACACTTAATTTAAACTTTGCACGGAATGTAACTGTTGATAATAATTATTATTATGCTTGAAAAATGATCGAATCTTTTGTTTTAAAGCTACCGTGCTCCTTTATTTCATCCGGTTGAATATTTAATTGTTAATAACTCAAAGCACATATGCACAATCCCTTTAATGATAATAATCCAGGAGAGTGGCTGATTGCTAATTTCAAGAATTGCGTAATGAATATTCTGAAATCGGTCGCTCCTACGTTTATTATGGATCTTGCAACTAAATGACTTGGCCTGACATTTAAATACATCCAAATCTTCTAAAGTATACGCGTTTCTATAATAATTTTATGGTAATTAAGAACATTTGGCAATACAAAAGAATTCATTAATTATTTTGTTTTCTTTCAAAGACTTGGGAATTCAATACATCTACGCTGCTTCCATAATTAATTGGACCAATGTTTTTGATACCGATAACATACGATGTTCGGAATATCCATGTTTTTCATGTAATTATAAGTGCTAAGTATATATATATATATTATGAACGATAATTATAATAGAATTTTTCTTCAACGTAAATAAGACTACGCGGAGTCTTTAATTATCTAATAATCTTCATTTTTGCTTCGTTGAATTTTCATTATATAATCTAATAATAAAAAAGATAATAGGCGCAGTATATAGTCTGAATAAATATCGTATATGTATTATTTCTCCAGTATAATTGAATATCGTTTCGAAAATTGCACGAAATTTATGAAATTCGTGTATTCCTTAAGAAACATTAACAATATTAGAAAAAGTGCGTCGCAATTATCATATACAATTCAAAAAAAGAAAGAAAAGATGAGAATGATAAATCCGAATCCTTGACCAATGCATTACCATAGAATAGTATGAGCATTTCAATAAATATCAAATATGCTTTAGATGAGAGAGAGAGAGAGAGAGAGAGAGAGAGAGAGAGAGAGCTTGATATAACATACGATTGATCGCATAGTAACGCACGATTGAAGAAAATTTCATCAACATCGTAATAATAATAACCATCAATACAATCTAGTCGATTGAGTTGCCGTGCTTTTTATTTCTCCAAAATATCAGTTCGCTTTTATGGGGTGAGAAATCGTCCATTTCACGCGTTGTCTCGCTTCGAGCGACAATATCAATTTTAACCCCCGACCTCGACATTCGCTCGGCGTACCTATAAAACGCGACTGTCCGACATGGACAATACGTGCGACGTTCTCTTTACGACTCTTAAAATCACAACAAAATATACTTCTCGTCGCAATCGCTCGAGTCTTTGGCTTACGAGCGATAACGACCGATACTATGACGCAAGTTGATCCTCGATCGGAAGCTCAAGAGCCTCCATATCCATAAGTCTCTAGAGCTGTCTTTTTTCTATCTTCGTATCTCGGGATATTAATATGTTATTGCGGAAGGACGTTCTTATGAAAGTCGAGAAGGACGGGAAAAATATGTCCGGCCATTCTTTCTCTCTGCGCATACGAGCGCTTCCTTCCACCCTCTCCCCCGCCACGTCGCCCTACCCCAATCGCATCGCTCTCTTTACAACGGAGCGTAAGGGACGAGAGAACTAGAGAAAAAGACTAAGGGGATGCTTGACTGAATCCAAGGGATGCATGGTGGAATACGCGTCTGGTCACATACGTGTTGTTCCTGTTTG